AACAAGATAATGAATGTAATAGATTGAAACACATCAAGTATGTTTAAATCCATGGGTTCATAAAAGAATTCTCCTCAACTACTTTTGGAGATTTGTCCTGATTTGCCTGGGACTATCCAGGTTTTAGCACTGAAAGCTTCATGTCCTGAGAAACCCCTCCATCTCAGGCAAACAGGGATGGTGGATCCCCGTACAGGGGAACAAACTCATTATCCCGAAAACTGATAAATGGAAGGAATCATCCACTTAACCTCGGAGAGTAATCAAATAATTGACAAGGACAAAATTATAGAAATATTTCAGCTAACAAATGAAGTAGAAATAATATAATTAGAATATCATTTTGCAAACCAGTTCCCAACCAAACAATAGATCTAGCCATTGCTTATCAACAGTCACTAACAACATACACACAAACACACACACACACACACACAGACCAAAAGGCCACCTGACATAATGAGTCTCCCGAACAAAGTACACAACACAACACCATGACGTGTGGGATTTGCCTCAAACTAATCAGGTATGGGAGGTATGTAAATATGTAGGGTTGTGGGGGTGTCGATTAATCAGATTAGCCAAGAGTTGATAATTGTGGAAGCTGGATGATGGGTATATGTTGTTTCATTACACTATTCTCTCTTCTTTGGTAGATGTTGGAATCTTCCATAATAAAAACTTTAAAAGAATCTAGTTAACATACAAATAAATCACCAAAATGCAAAGACTTATATTCACAATGTCCACTGAATCTTATTTAAAATAGTCAAAACAGGAAACAAAATAATGTCAAACAATGATGTTTAAACATATTAAGTTACACTTACAAAACAGAGCAGTAGGAAGCTATAAAAATCACATTTTCACGTAGGATTGAATGACATGATGGCATATTCATATGCACAATGTTAAACAAAAAAAGATTTTCAAAATGATCCCAATTCCTGTAAACTATGAATATTTATATTAAAAAATACTGAAAGAAACACAACACACTGTTAACAATATTTATCTCTGGGTAATGATATATAGTTGGATTTTTATTATCTCCTTTATATTTTTTGGTTTTGTCTACATTGAGCAAGTTTTCTGTCATAATCAAAAAATATACTACATGTTATATATTTATTCAAGAAAAGTAATAGACCTGGAGGAAGAGAGGAAGAAGGGCAAACAGAGACAGCAGGTGACATGACTAAGCTTGCATATGCAGAAACCCCATTTCCGGCTCTGCAGCAGCAAGGCCACAGGACCACCCAGCTCCAGTGACACTTCAAAAGCCTGTCAGGTGGCAGGCAGAACAAGAGCCATTTCACCAGTGGGAAGAGCCCCAAGGATGCAGCCCGGACCACTTGCTCTCTTGTGCACAGTTTTGACCTCCATCTGCTTTGGTAGGGAGCCCACCAACCCTGCAGCTGGGGCCTGAGGAGGGAGGGTTGGAAGGGAAGTTGGAATAGAACTGGACTGTGCTTTTCTCCACTTTATTTTCTGAGTTGAAACCTGGCTATTTGTGATGGCTTTCTTGTGAGCAATGTCATCAGATAACTCATTTTTTTCTTCGTTTCTACAGGTTCCAGCAATTCCCAGAGTGTCATTCAACCTACAAATGTAATGTATACAAAAGAGGGAGAATCTGTGACCTTGGAATGCACGATCACAGTCAGTTATACTTACTATGCTATGTACTGGTATCAACAGCTTTCCAGTGGAGAGATGACTCATATCATTTATGTATATTCTGAAGACAGGAACTCAAGAGAAGGACGATATTCTGTGGTGTTTCAGAAACCAACCATAAAGCTCACCATCTCAACCTTGACGCCTGGAGACTCAGCTGTCTATTTCTGTGCTGTCGCACAACGAACCCACGGTGACAGCAGTGGTGGGAAGAGCCTTACAAAAACCCCAGGACCCAGCATGAGCCAGCCAGCTGCTCCAGGAGCCTAGGAGAGAACAACCCACAGGACAGGAAGAGGGTAGACAGAAGGCATGGTGAGTGGCACTGATGGGTCTAGAGAGGAAGCTAATGAATGTTCTAGCAACAATCTTCCCACATTTGGTATCAAAGAAAGAGTTGTGGTTACAAAACCCCAACCTCAACAGCATTTTCATCTCTGAAACTGGTGCCTCAGGATGATAAAGCGAAGCTGAACGAGGTGTGGATCTGTCATCGCTGCGTGCCCAACATCCATCCCCCATTTTTGGTGACAATGGCTTGATTTTCCCTAGATTACCAAGCCTCCCCTCCTCCTACCCTATGTTTGGGTTTGGATGAGTCTGACTCTACCCTTGGACCCCTGACCAATTAGCAAATTCATCTCTCTGACCGCAAGGAGGGGTTCAAGAATGGGTACATCACCAAAGCCTACATCCTCAAACTCAATAGGGAACTATTGGGAGTGCTGTTGGGGATGCAAGAGGCTAGGATATAAACCTAGAGTTGCCAGCAGCCCTTTTCCCACCAGCAGGGAAGAGCAGGATCCTGAAAAGAGACAGTGAAAATGAGTTCCCTTAACGTTGTTTGAGGCCCCGGCCCCTGCTGTGATTACAGGAGATCTACCTGGGATTTTCAGTTGTGCACCACAGCTGCCTTAGGTTGGTTTCCTCCAGAAGCAGACAGGGATTCGGGTGGAAGTGGTTTAGTTGGGAGTTGAACCCAGGATTGATGGCAGGGGCATAGGAGAGGGTGACAGGAAGGGAAGTCAGCCAGTAAGGGTGTGTTCTCCAGCCAGCTGCCACTGTGGGCACCTGGAGTTTTATCCTGCCTGGGAATCTCTGGGAACCAGTGTGAACACTTGCCTCAAGTTATCCCACCTGAGGGCCAAAGGAGCCAAGGTATTGATATCCTCAATCCTGTGTGTCATTTGTCAAGGACAGCTCCTGGGCGTGTTAATTCTCCAGCATTTAGCAGGCTGTAACAGTAAGAGAAAGCCCTTAGGCAAAGAAACCAAGTACTGGCAGGAGCAAGTCTGCAGGGTGCACTGAAGTGTAGTGAAGAACAAGGGAATCTTGATGGGACACCAAGAATGCAACACAAGTAATTTCTTTTATTTCTTAAGCTATTTAGATTTGAGTTTTATATCACTTGCCATCAAAAGAGACCTAACTAAAAGCACTAATAAAAATAGCATTGGGTAAAATGAACTAATTAAACAAAATACTTTAAAATTACTTTTTTATCTTTGGCTCACTACAGTTCAGAAGTGATTCAACTCCTCAAACTGTTCAGATTAGAGCAGTTGTTCAGCTCTTTCCTCCCACATCACCCTGTGTGGTAAGGAGGAGGGACAAATTGAACACTTGTACGTGCATTGCTACGCTGGGCATTTAGCTGTTCTCTCCCTGTTCAGACTCTTCCTGCTCAGGTTCACCTTGCTTAGTGCTGCCAGATTAATCATCCCAAAGTGTCCCACCAAAGAATCTTGCCAGTTCAAATCTCCGGCATCCCTGTGAGACTTTGTTTTTCCCAACTCCACAATTCTGCTCCTGCTACTTGCTTCCCCTGCAATGTGTTTCCTCCCCATTTCTACCTTTGGAAACCACCATCTTTCAAAATCTATTTCACATCTTTCTCTCTCTTGATGCTTTTGAGGGTACCCTAGGGGCAATGAGCATCCCTATATCCCATACCTCAGTTTCTAATTCCATTTTCCAATCAAAGGAACCAGAGCTCCTTGGATAAATGACTGATTTTAGGATTGGAGCAGCCTGGAGCACCCCATAGAGCTGAAAAAACAAAAAAATGATGGGGCTGTGTCAAAGGGGCATAGAAGCCAACTGAAAAATCTCCCTGTGGTAAAAGGTGGAACAATTTGTGCAATAAAATAAATAAGTAGTATTGAGTAATAACCCTAAGTATAGAATAAATATCCATGAGTCACTGATATAAATAAATTATTGAATAAGTAAATGAGGGAGAATAGACAAATCTCTCACGCTGAAGAATTCTAAATAATTTATGTAGACACTCCACATTCAAGGAAGTGGAGCATAACCCCACACTCCTTAAGTGTGGGCCGTGCATAGTGACTTCCTTCCAAAGAGGACAGTATGAAAAGGGTGAAAAAAGAGTAACTTGACAGTGGAGAAATCTGACGAACACTACCTCAGCCAGATGATCACATCAACATCAACAGATAAGTCATGTTGATAGCATGTCCCCTTGATAGGGCGCGATGAGAAATGGCACTTTAACCTCTGTGGTCTTCCGCCCCAAGCCCATAATCCCAGTCTAATCGTGAGGAAATCATCAGAGAAATCCCAGTTGAGGGACATTCTACAAAATACCTGACTAGTACTCCTCAAAACTGTCAACGACATCAAAAATAAGAAATGTCTGAGAAATAGTCATAGCCAAGGGGAGCCTAAGGAGACATGATGGCGAAATGTAATGTGGTGGGATCCCTAGGTGGGATTCTGCAACAGAAAAAGGACATTAGGTAAAATCTAAGTAAATCTAATATAATATGAACTTGAGTTAATAACAATGTATCAGTATTGGTTTATTAATTGTGGCAAATGTATCATTGTAAGATGTTAATAAGAAGGGAAACTGGGTGTGAGGTATGTGGAAACTACGTGTGCTATCTTCACTTTTCCGTAGATCTCAAACTATTCTAAAATAAAAAGTTTATTTTAAAAACTTATAAAATTGTAGTTTTCTATGACCTAATTTTTGTGGAGGAAGAATTGTAATTTTTATATATAGATATAGCATTTTTATGTATAAATATATCATTATATTTACAGTCATGTGTCACCTAACGACACGGATACATTCTAAGAAATGCATCATCAGGCAATTTCATCATTGTATGAACATCATAGAGTGTACTTACACAAACCCAGATGGTATAGCCTACTACTACGTACCTAGGCTATATGATACTAATCTTATGGGACCACCATTTTCTATGTGATCTATCATTAACAGAAACATTGTTATCAGTGCATGACTGTACATCAAAAAGAGTCTTGAAAAGTGCTGTCCAATACATAGCCACTACCTACATGTGGCTATGGAACACTTGGATTGTAGCAGGTCCAAATTGAGATGTGCTGTAAGTGTAAAATATGCACCAGGTTTCAAAGACTTAGTATTAAGAAAAGACTGTAAACAATCTCATTAATATTTTTTATATTAACTATATGTTGAAATGATTTTTGGGGTTTATTGGGTTAAATAAAATATATTATTAAAATTCATTTTATATATTTCTTTATACTTTCTTCTAATGTGGCTACTAAAAAATTTAAAATTATGTACGTAGCTCACATTGTATTTCTGTTGAAAGCAGTGGTCTAAAAATATAGACATGAAATGTTAACAATAATTAATTCTGGTAGTGGAATTCAGGATAATTTTTTTAGCTTTTCTGTTTTCTAATTTTTGTTCAATATATTTCTATTCCTTGTATAATAAAAAAGTAATAAAAATAAAAAGTTGCAAGAACTACTGCTGTGAAATGTCACACTAAATGATGAAAGCACCAAGCAGAAATGCCAAACCTTAGAGTCTTTTAATTAATTATTCATTCATTCATTTGGATATATATATAATATATTATATTTATATATATATATATATATAAAGTAGCCCATGAGCAAGGCACTGAGTCAGTTACTAAGAATACAAGCACAAAAAAGATGAAATAAAATTATTTCCTTCAAGTTCATAGTCTATTTGGGAAGTTAGGCTCGTAAATAAAAATAAGAACATAATTTGGTCAGTGATATTATGACAATTCCTGTAGAGTCACCTCTCCTCTCCTCCCTGCTTTAAATGCTGCTGTTTTTCTGGCTCCAACCTTAGCCTACTTCTCTGATCACATCACGATTGCAACTAATACCTATACGCTAATGACTGTTTTTCCTCTAACCTTGATTTTGCTCCAGACCTACATATATCCAACTGCTTTTTGGTCAGATGACCCTTGGGCCATCTAAACTGTATAAGCCTAAAACCCATCATCACTTCACCTCCCCTACTCCAAGCTCTTCTACTTCTGTACTTCTTAGTTAATGACATTGCCTTTTTCAAGGCTCTGTGTAAAAGGCAAATTTAAGTATTTTACTTCACTTCTCAATACTCTTCAGACTTGGCATGACACAAGCCCACACATGAAGTTCCTTAAGCTACCAATCCATCCTCATTTCCTGGCACATCTCTCATCAGCAATGACCCTCTAGAAATACCAAACTACCAAACTCAGGAAATACCACGAGTTATCAACCCTCTTGCCTTCATCCTTCTCTATAATCCTTCTCTTTGTTTGGAGTTTCCAACCTCATCACCATCTCCTCCTCATGGTTCCCTAACATCTCCACTCTGAAGCCTTCTTTCATCTTTCAGGCAAATTTAAAGTCTCTCTCCTCTGGCTCCCTTTGAACTCTGCACACACCTCCAGAACAGCAATTATCTTTTTATATTACAATGCCTGCTTCCTCTAGGATACTCTTCCTTGAGGGCAAGGATTATGTTTTTTTCACCTTGATATCCCCAGCATTACACAGAACATGACAAATAGAAGTCTATCTAGTTTACTGAATATTTCCGATCTTTCTTCACCTTTCTCACTCCATTGTGGTCACACTTACCCACTAGAAAAGTCTAGATGTTCCTTGAATGCCCCAAGCAGGCTTCCACCCCTGAGTCTTTGTACTTGAATGTTCTTGCCCCAGATGGCTCCATTCATCACATAATTCAGGTCACTGCTCCAATGCCACCTCATCGAGAGGCCCTACCTTCAATCCTACATAATATAGCACTCACCCAACCCATCTCTCTTTCCCCTTACCCTGTCTCATTTTTCTTATGGCAATCATCATCAGCAGACATTATATTATATATTTGTTGGTGTATTTCTTGTCTGCCTATCCAGCAGAATATAAGCATCCAGTAGCCCAGAGGTTTGTCTGAATTATTAAACAAATGAAATGAGAATCTG